AACACATTTAAAAGCAAACAAAATAAAGGTAGAGCACACCACATTATTCACTGGCACTTATGGCTAAGTTCTCAAAAAAAAACATGTACTCCCCCTTACTAACGTACTCCCCCTTTTTGTCAATCTAATGGACAAAGAGCAACATCAGGACTGGGTGGAAGAGGAGGAGGTCTCCAAGTCTTCGTCATCACCAGCAGGAGCATCAGTAGGAGCAGCTTCAATAGTGGCAATCTGGCGAGTCACACGAAGCATCTGAGCCTCAGCAGTAGAGATTGAAGATTGAACGGCAAGAGAGGCATCTTTCATCGTGGCAATGTGTGAAGCGAGAAATGTAACTTGCTGTCTGAGAACAGCCAGAGTCGAAGCAGAGTCAGCAGCAAAAGTAGTCGATGCAGAGGCCATGCCAGTTGCTGGAGTATTCTCTGGAGCAGGGGCAGGTGGAACTGAGGAGAGAGTGGCCCGATCATCAAAGTGGGATTTTTGGAAGATGCGAGAGTCCATAGAGGTTTTGTGAGTAACATGACAGAGCTCTTCATTGGAATAGAGTTGAAGCCCTTGTTGTTGCAAGATACCCGTGATAAGGCAAGGAAATGGTAGATGAATCTTGGCTTCTTTCTTCTTGGAAAAACCCATGATGTGATGATAGATGAGATGACCAAGATCAATAGGTAGCTGATGTCGAACCTTGTATAACAGAGAGGCCATCTTCTTATTCACAGTGTGCACAGAAACATTAGGGATCCAATTGCTAGAAGCTAGGCGAAAGAGAACCGAATAGACTGCAGTAAGTACATTTGAAGGCAGGCCATCCTTTGGCCAAACGTTGATCTCATTGTGTGTAAGATGGGATGCAAGAAAGTCCCCAGCAGGATCAAACAGATCATCACACGCATCACGCTGAAAATAAGAGTTAATAATAGAGGGGCTAAAATCATACCAAGTATCCCGGAGAAAAACTTGATGATAATGTGGAGAGGCCGGTCGAAGAGAATTAGACGTGAGATTGGCGTAGAATTCTGGGATAAGCCAGGCAGAGTAAGCTCCCACATTCTGGATGGTTTGGAGAAGATTCTGAGCTCTAAGCAAAGGAATGATATTGCACACGCGAATGAGGTATTCAATACTAAAATTTTTCTCAACCAAGATATCGCGATTTGAGTGCTGCTGCCATATTGTTTCCAGTGCAGGGGAGAGCAAGATAGGTCTGAACAAGGTCTCCTTGGACACCTTAGCAGTCTTGGACTTGGATGATGCAGCTGTCTTTGAAATAGTAGCAGAGGCTGGGGCAGAAGCTGGAGGAGGAGCCGGAGTAGACACGCCAGTTTTCGAACGTGTACGCTGAGCAAGACCCGTAGGCCGAAGTTCAGACCGTTTGCTAGGACGAGATTCAGAGACAAATTCAACATCCTCGGACATGTGAAGCTTTCTCTTAGCCACTAGAGCTGCTGCAGGTGCTTCATCTGGATCAGTGATTTTAGCTTTCCCTTTGGCCTTTGTAAATGGCACCCTGATAACAGGAACGGCTGTTTCAACACGGGCAGTGTTTGGCATATTTGCAATGGTGTCAGAGATGATGGCTGCTTGAATGGATGGATCCTCAGGCTCAGAGACTATGTCCCGAATCGAAACCTCAACATCATCTGGAACAGATCCTGGAACAGAGACGGGATTATCTATAACTGGATCTGAGGCTGGAGTTGTGACTGGATCATGCGAATGCTCAGCCTTTTTGGAAGTGGCCTTGTCCGTGTTTTGAAGTTGGGAACCTGTGAAGGGAATTGCAGACAGAGGCACAATAGACAGACCAGCAGAGGGGTCCTAATTTCACAAGGCAATAGCACAATCTCAACACTAACATACCATAAATAATCAAAGCAAGAAGCAGTGTTTAGGCATAATAAACTCGACCATAGATAATCAAGGCTAAAAAAGAAAATTAACGAATAAAAATGCGATGCATGCCTAATTAACAAGCAATTAGATATTGCTCCCTAAGAGATTAGAGAAATCAAACCGTAGATTGAGCCCGTAGTTGCCGAGCCCGAAGTTCTCCTTGAAGAAGCTCCTCGTCTAAGATTTCATCAAGTGGCCATGGGTCATCCGTGATCCCTGATGCTCTTGAAAAGATCTCCTTAGAGTCCTTCATAGACAACTCCTCCATCAGAGATGGGTGTCGAAGAAGTGTTGCGAGAACCCGGCGAGCAGAGATGTCCGAGATTGGAGCTGTTCCCCGAAGAATTTGACGATAGAGATCTAGGCGCTCATCTTCCGTGAGGTAGAAAAGGAATGGATTAAGATCAGAATGACTAGCCATGAGAAAGACAGGAGCAAATCAGATCGATTGAGTAGAGGATTTTTGCAAGGATTCGAAGATTTGGGTAGAAAAGATTTTAAAGGTAAATGAGAGTAATTTTAGGGATTGGATTCTATAAATTTGGGGAAGAACCGGTGGTGTATAACAGCTAAGAGAGAGAAACAATTAATCAAAAAATCTGATTTTTTAGTGCGGTCAAAGAAGCTTATTTTCCGGTCTGGAGAGCGTACTGGAGCAGTAATCATATCTGGAGGATTTTCTGGAGAAAATCTGAAAAAGAAGGAAATAACACAAAAACAAAAGAACAACAAAATAAAAACAAAAACATTATTTGAGTCACAGTACAAACTTAGATTGAAAACCTGCACACCCCAAGAGCAGCTCGTAGTAACTCAAAACTTGTGTTATCAAGAGGCTTTGTAAAAAGATCTGCTAGATTTTTCTCTGTTGAAATGTACTCCAGGTTGATTTCCTTGTCTTCTACCAATTCTCTTATGAAATGATGCCTTATTTCAATATGTTTAGTTCGGGAATGTTGAACTAGATTTTTGGAGATGTTGATCGCACTAGTGTTGTCACAATATAGTGTCATGTACTCTTGATGTAGACCATAATCTTGGAGCATCTGCTTCATCCATAGGAGTTGAGTACAACAACTACCTGCTGCAATGTATTCAGCTTCAGCTGTGCTGAGAGATATTGAGTTTTGCTTCTTACTTAGCCAGGCAACTAAGTTCTTTCCCAAAAAGAAACAACCACCAGATGTACTTTTGCGGTCATCTGCGTTTCCAGCCCAGTCGGCATCACTGTATCCCACAAGATTCAGATTAGTATCATTTGACACCTAAATGCCACAATTGAGAGTACCTTTGACATATTTTATTATCCTTTTTACGGCTTTAAGATGTGATTCTTTAGGAGCTGCTTGAAACCTGGCACATATTCCAACACTAAGCATAATTTCTGGACGACTGGCTGTCAGATACAGAAGGCTCCCGATCATGCTTCTATATAGAGTAGGATCAATTGGTTTCCCTGATTCATCTTTGCTTAATTTTGTAGTCGTAGATATTGGCGTTCTTGCTTCTTTGGCTGACTCAAGTCCAAATTTTGTTAGCAGGCCTTTTGCATATTTTTCTTGAGATATAAAAATACCTTCATTGGTTTGTTGGACTTGTAGTCCTAGAAAATAGGTTAGTTCGCCAATCATACTCATTTCGAATTCCTGTTGCATGACTTGAACCAGTTGATCTGTAGCACCTGTTTCAGTGGAACCAAAGATAATATCGTCAACATAAACCTGAGCAATTGTAATATGCTTACCTGACCTTTTGATAAATAAGGTTTTGTCGACTCCCCCTCGGTTGTAGCCGTGCTGGAGAAGATACTGGGATAATCTTTCATACCAGGCCCTCGGAGCTTGTTTTAGACCATATAGAGCCTTGTCCAGTTTGTAGACATAGTCAGGATGATGAGGATCTTCAAACCCTTTAGGTTGAGCAACATATATATCTTCGGACAGATATCCGTTTAGAAAAGCCGTTTTGACATCCATTTGGAACAATTTTATTCCTAGAGCACATGCTATACATAGAAGAAGGCGAATGGACTCTAGTCGTGTTACTGGTGCAAATGTCTCTTCATAATCGATACCTTCAATTTGAGAGTAGCCTTGTGCAACTAGTCTTGCTTTGTTGCGAGCAATGTTTCCAGCTGAATCGGTCTTGTTGCGAAAAATCCACTTTGTTCCTACAACGTTTACACTGTCAGGTTTTGGGACTAGATTCCATACCTTGTTACGTTCAAATTGTCCTAGTTCTTCCTGCATGGCTTTAATCCAGTGTTCATCAGATAGGGCTTCTTTTACCGTCTTGGGTCCGATCTTTGATGTGTAACACGTATACCCTGCAAGCTCGAGGTAATTTCGTTTAATCCCTCTAGTCCTTACCCCAGAGAATGGGTCTCCTATGATATTCTGAGTAGGGTGATCTCTGCGAAGACGAATAGCCCCTTCGAGTGCTCCAGCATCTGGGTCGGGACTAGGTTCTGGAGCAGTTTCCGGACAAGATTGAGTAGAACCCGATGTTGTAGTTTCAGGGGTTTCTGGATTATCTGTGGCAGATTCTGGAGTGACTTCTGGGTTAGAGACACTTATAACCTCAGTTATTTCCTCAGGTTGATCATCAACCACCACGTTTGCCGATTCCATGATAGATTTTGTAACTTTGTTATACACACGGTAGGCACGACTATTCGTTGAATACCCAAGAAAGTACCCTTCATCACTTTTAGGCTCGAATTTTCCGGTTGGGTTTCGATCCTTCAAGATAAAACACCGTGAGCTGAAAATATGAAAGTAGTTGATATTAGGCTTCTTACCTTTCCATATTTCATATGGAGTATGATGCGTTCCGGGTCGTAGATATACTCGGTTTATCGTGTGACAAGCAGTACTTACTGCTTCAGCCCAAAATCTCTGAGGCAAGTCTTTTGCATTGAGTAGAACCCGAGCCATCTCTTGAATCGTCCGATTCTTTCTTTCAACCACACCATTTTGTTGTGGTGTTTTAGGTGCTGAATACTCATGGAAAATACCGATTGATGCGCACCAATCATCAAATACTTGATTGTCGAATTCACGTCCATGATCACTTCTAATGCGTATGATTGGCTCATTTTTCTCTTTCTAGAGTTTTAGGGCCAGGGCTTTGAAGGCTTCGAAGGTTTCTGACTTTTCCCTGAGAAAACTGACCCACGAAAACCTAGAAAAATCATCAACACAAACTAAAATGTACCTTTTACCTCCAATGCTTTCTGTTCTGGTAGGTCCAATGAGGTCCATGTGAATGAGTTCCAGGCAGTGTGTGGTATTGATCATGTTTTGAGAGGTATGCGCTGCTCTAGTTTGTTTTCCAGCTTGACAGGCGCTGCATACTCCAGCTTTTTCTACCTTGATACTCGGTAGACCCCGAACACCCTCAATTTTTATCAATTTTTCAAGAGAGCGATAATTCAAGTGGCCTAACTTTTGATGCCACAGTTTTGATTCTTTTATGCTGGACCTATAACAATAAGAATCGTTAGTAAGTATATAACAATTATCAGAAGAGCGTTTACCTTCCATGACACAGTTCTTTTTGTAGTCTGTAACGTTGCAGCTGTCTTTTGTAAAGCAGACTTTCCACTCTTGATCACATAATTGGCTGATACTAATCAGATTTGCATGCAGACCTTCCACCAATAGAACTTGTTGGAGTTTGGGTAGACCTGTGACATTTAGAGTTCCAATTCCAGTAATTTTTCCCTTAACACCGTCGCCAAAAGTTACTTCTCCTGTACTTCCCTTTACGTTGTTTAGGTATTTAGCATCACCCGTCATATGCCGCGAGCATCCACTATCAAAGTACCATCTCTCTTTTCTGTTAGTACTCGTAGAGTGGAAAGAGACATGACATACAAAGTCACTTTTCTTCACCCAAATTTGCTTGACAAACGGGGTGATAGATTTGTTTGTGAGTTTCTCACAACGTTGGTCTTTGTAGAAGTAGAAGCACTCTGGTTTTGTATGTCCGCGTACCCTGCAGTAATGACATATAGGATTATACACTCTAACCTTGAGTGATGTTTTTCTTGGAGCAAAGTTAATTTGACGCCGAGCTGTACTGGTTTCTGGACGATATTGAACTGCTCCAGAGACTGAGTCAGAACATGAGGCTTTGACGAAAATTGTAGTGGCTTTGTCCTTTCCTCCAGAGTATCCTAACCCATATTTTGTAGACGACTTTCGACCAGAGTCTAAAATTTGGTCTAAGGTGGATGTGTTGTCCATCATTTTTATCTTGCGTTTGAGTTGCTCCAGTTCCTTTTTGAGATCTTCTAGCTCATGTTTGAGACTTTCTTCTTTCTTGTAACTGTCTTCAATGATGCTGTCCCTGTCAGAAATTTTAGATAGATACACTTTTTTGGCATTTTCTAGAATGTTAACCTGACTAGACAGAGACCTATTGACTTTTACAAGAATTTCCCATTTTGCATACAATTTTTTATACTCTACTTCAAATGTAGGTGCTGGTAAGTCTTGGTCTTCTGATGACACATACTCTTCAATTTCTGATTCTTCGCCAGTTGTAGAAGCAGATACGGTAGTTGTAAGAGCTGTAAAGGCAACAAAGTTTCCGGAGATCTCATCTGGATCAGAACCTGGATCTGTTTCTGGTTCATCGTTATCACTCCAGGTAAGGGCAACTTTCATTGACTTCTTCCTTCTCAAATAGGTTGGACATTCAGCCTGCACATGGCCATACCCTTCACATTCATAACACTTGATCCCTTTGCCTCCGGTTTTGTCTTTAGATTGAGAGTTCCGATAAGCACCTGGTCGTTGGCCGGATGAGTTTGATCTTTGATTGTTTCGATTTGCACTTGATCCTAATCCTTTTTGGCCTTGAAACTTGCCTAGCTTTCCAGTTTGTCTTTGTTTTACCTGTTGCAACAATTTAGAAAAACCTTTAGTTAAAAAGACTACGGGATCATCACTTACCTCATCTGGATCAGAAACAGCTCCAGCGTCTTCTACAGTGAATGCTACGGTTTTTCCTTTTGTTTCAGGTCCGCCTAAGATTTCCATGTTGCAATTACTAATTTATTTACTCACTTTTTACATGTAGTTCCAACAAGTTGAATATGACAAAGCGGTTATTGATCTGGTGCGTTCTGAATGGGCCGATATTCTATCAAGTTATATCTACATAAATCATGGTGCAAAGTAAAATTTGTCAAACATATAATCAATCAATTCACTCTTGGTAAATAAAAATGGCAATTTATATCCTACACCACGGCGCGCGTTGCATTGTGCGCCCAGATGCAAAACGACGTCGTTTCATTTTTTTTTTTTAATTTCCCGCCTCAGTGATTGACAGTTAATTTTTCTTTCAAAAAAAACCCATGTTCAAAAATGTACATAATGTTATACTAAAATACACATAATTGTATACATGAATTTACATAATTATATAATAAAATATACATACTCTTTTTAAAAAGATAATACACATAATCTAACATAATACATAATACACATAAACTTTTAACATAATACACATCAACTCTTAACATAATACACAAAAATTTCCTAATTCGGATGTACATAATTGTATAAAAAGAATGTACAGAATTGTATAGAAAATGTACATAATTGTATGAACAAATATACATAATCACAGCAATTTCCTACCGCGCCTCCCATTGTTGGAGATGAATGCACAATTTATACAGAGCAGACGGAGACCTTAATTCAATTCATTCCTGGCTTTAATAGCATTCTAAATTCACCGCTCACCTGCGGGCTCCCTGATGATGAAAAGGAAGTTGCGTGAGGCTGGCGGAGAGGTAGTTGCAGTTTGTTGCCGGAAATGGGGAGAAGACATCGGAGAAGAAAGAAAATGAGTAAAATGACTAAAATACCCTCATTATTTGATCTATTAAATTTTTCCGGTGAGATTTGGCCAGAAATTTGGTCGGCGTGACCAAAATTGATAGAAATTACATAGTCAAGGAACTAAATTAACATTTTTGAAAGTCAAGTGTTACAATTAACACAGCTCCAATAGTCAGTGGACCAAAATTGAAATTTTCTCTTATTTTAATTTCAGTACTTTAATTTCTCGATTTAGAATGTATTTACTTTGAACATTTAGTCTTTGAAGTTTTTCATAAGATTCCATCTTTTTCATATTACGAAATCAGTTATGAAAATTGAAACGTATAAAATTAATATGTTACGCTGATTTAGATTCATAAATTATTTGTTCTTAAAAGTAATGATGATTTCTAAAAGTTTGTATATTTCACTAAATCATTTGTCAATTGTAATACATAAGTAATGCACTTTTAAAATAAGTAAGGACTACACTACGCCGGCCGCACACGGACTCATCTTAGTGTCTCTGATGGAGGTGAGGTGATCACATGTTGACGTTGTTTTGATCGGACCCATTTCATTCCTTATCCACTCGCATCGCCTCCTAGACAATATTAGTCATATCATCTACCTTTTTCTCGTAATTTTCTGGAAGCATCCTCAATAGGGTAATTATGGAAGGTTGTTGCAGGGGCAATGCACATGTGGATTAGAGCAAAAGATGAGAAAGAATAAATTGGGGTCTTGCAGGAGGCATTAATTTTTGTCAGATTCAGTGAGTCCCACCAAGAAAAAAAAAACTGTCTCCTTGTGCACGTGAGTCGCATCAGAAATGCTCAGCCTGGTGCGTGCACACCACGTGCCATAGCTAGCTTGAATTGATGTTTCGTTATATTATATTGTTGCATAGCTAAACCTTAGCTAGCTTTCTAATTAATATTGCAAATAATTTATGTTTGTTTCATGAAGTTAACAAATTCAACCTGCTTCCCTTAATAGGAAATTCCATATATCATTCACGGAATTTGAGAGAAGGAATTTTAAAAGAAAGGTTTTAATTAGGAATCGTGAAAAGAAAGTTTGAGAGATAGAGATATCAAAAATTTAAGATGTTATGTTTATCGGGAATGAATGGGAAAAGGTCGTGAAGGATGACTGTGTCATAAATGGAGACCAATTGTTTTTTTTTTTTTTTTTTATCTATAACGTACGGTTGTGACGCAGTGTTTGACTTCTTTGTAGTTGACTTATTCGATTCTGAAAAGATAAGAGTGGAAGATGAAATGAGAGAGCCTATTCAATTTCTTAACAAAGACTACAAGAAAATAGTACACGGTAAAATACTATTAGAACTAGCAATAGATTAAATAATTTCAATTTAAATATTTATGATTTTAGTATTTTACGAATGATTATATCGTGCACCGCGATGAACGAAGGATAATACCAAAATGCTCTTGGTTAATCGAAGCTCTCGCTGGCTGGTTGACGGAATACGGTCGGAAGGACTAAACCGGCTAAAAATAATTATTTTCGTTGACCAAATAGATGAATAAGAGATTGAGGGACTACTTGACAGTTCGCTAATAATCTAGGGACCAAATTCTTAATTCCCCCTAAACTAAATACCTGTGAGTTTCAGTAACTTACTTTCAAAATTTTCAATTTCTTTACAAATTTTATTTTTTGACGTGTTATTAATATATTAACTTTTTAATTACTATTCGACATGTTTGTTAACTCATCATATAGGAATCGTTATACAGTTGACCATGGTCCACACATTGTTCTGTGGGCCTTGGTCGTCAAATGAAACTACACAGTAGAATTAAATTGATACTATAGTAATGCTATAATAAAACTAGTGTATGTGAAAAATGCAACTTTAAAAAAGTGTATTCAATAATATATATTGTCAAATTAAACTGTAGTATAAAGCCGGGGGTAGCCATATAAGGTTGGAACAGGGCATAAGGTTAGAACTATGATACTTGTGACATGTAGTTATCACTGTGGCATGTAGTTGCCAATGTGCGAATGTATTTTCTTTGCTAATGAGCATGTCTGACGTATTTTACTTTGTGATCAATAGAATGCATCTTGAGTTGTATTGTCTTTCATGATTCTTGTCTTGGTATTGTCGTAAGGATGTTGATTCCTTTTCCTTTTTAGAGTGTTAATGAGTCCTTGAAGTTGACTTCTTTCGATGGCTTTTGAAATGATATATACTGTATTCCGTTTCAAAATGGTTTTGACTTATACTTATTTGATAGGAATATTTTTGTAATAAAACTTTGATGAGCCAAATGTACTTTAGATCCCCTTAGAATTTAGGTCTTTAATTAGTACAAGCATCATAATCCAGAATATCGAGTCAAAGAGAAATCTACCACATGAAGAACAAAATTAATTCGGAAAATTAATTTTGGTCCTACAAGTATTCATCCGAGAAAGAAGCATTAAGGAATGGTGCTGCAATATTAGTAAACCCGTTATAAATTTATAGACATATTATGTCTAACAATAAAGTAATTTTTATTGACTTATCAATTATCATTAAAACTCTGCATAAGAGAACTTCACTAACTTTAAAGTAATTTGTTATGACATAATTTTTATTTTTATTTGTTTAAAGTGTAAAAATTAACGGTCTATTTGACAGATTTTCCTTGAAACAATTTTCCTTAAATCAATTATTTGATCAGGCAATTTGCGCGAAAAATGCATCAGCATCGTAACCTCATGATCCAAAGCCTTTATGGTCTCCTCATATTTGCGGTTCAGCTCGTCTACAGTGACATGCATCTCCTCAAGCAAACTTTTCCTTTTCATGACAGTAACATACCACATGTCGTATTCTGCCTCCAATTTAGCACGCTTCTGACTCTCACTCAGCTCATCGTTGCTCTCCATAACCTTAACCTGGAAAGAAGCGCAGAATTTTAAATCCAATTAACTGATTTAATCCAAATTCCAAGCAATCTAAATCTGAAATGCATGGATTAAAAATTCATAATTGCATAAGAGAAATTGAAAAGAATACAACACAACACAATCTGAATCTGAAATGCATGAATTAAGAATTCAAAATTGCAATAGAGAAATCGAAAATGATACAACACAATCTACATCCGGAGTGTAGGGATTAAGAATTCAAAATTGCAATAGAGAAAACGAAAAGAACACAATAGAATCTAAATCTAAAATACAATGCAGGGATTAAGAATTCGAAATTGCAGTATGAAAATCGAAAAGAATAGAACACCATCTACATTTAAAATACAATGCAGGGATTACGAATTCGAAATTGTAGTAGAGAAACATAAAAGAATACAACACAATCTAGATCTGAAATACAATGCACGAATTCGAAATTGTAGTAGATTGAAGGCAGTAAAGAAAACAACACAATCTAGATTTAAAATATAAGGATTAAGAATTAAAAATTGTAGTAGAGAAAGAAGGCTACTTTTGGAATTGAAACACATACAATACGATATTGAGATGTATACCCTGGTAGAGATTAGCAATGATATATTACTCCAATTTATATATATAACAAATTATATAAAAGTCAATCTATATTAGAGAATCGAAATGAAGAAATCACCATTGCCACTAAAAAACGTGTGGACCTGAGAAAAAGTCATGACATTTATTTATTATTTTTATTTTTAAACTGTTTTCTCTTTTATGGTAAAAACTAGTTTTTAACGCGCATTGCGCAATTGAGTTAATGCTCAATGTTTATATTTTTATATAAATACTTTATAGTATATGAATACAAGATTATATTAGAGTTGGTCATGCAAAGATAATAAAATGTTAAATTTGCTTATTTAATTAGATAATTGTAAGTTTACGAATGTAAGATAATACAATTATGTTTGATTATAATTGTCACTAAAATAATTAATGGTAATTTTCTAAATACTTACTCTAAAAATAATAGTCTAAATAATGCTAGTCTAAAAATAATAGTGTAAATAAAATCTACATTTGGTTTAAATTTCTCTAAGCATTCTTAATTCTCTTAAGGGGAGCTTTGTCATTCTCTTCATCTTCATCTTCAGTACATATCCTCTTCTTTTGATTTGGTAGTTCGCCATGTTCAATTGTGTTAGTTGTAATATCATAGTGGGAAGCATCATGCAATGACATTACAGTGTAGGAAGAAGTGGATCATGTCATCCGAAACTGCCCCGCGGCAAGAGAAGTGTGGCAGAATCTCAACTTCTCAAATGACCAGGGTAATTTCTTTACCATTGATTTTAATTACTGGCTAATGAACAACTTGGCAGGGTGCAGAGGCGATAAAAGAAAGAAGAGATTCGCAATCACCGTGTGGTGGATCTGGAATTGGAGAAATAAAACCATCTTCAATGTCAAGACACTCGAAGCGCATGAGAAGGGGAAATGGCTGAAACGCCAATTCAGTGCGATAGAGGCAGTGCTGGAGCAATCATTATTGTGTGGACCATATTTTGTATATTGTAAAATCTATTATGCACCGCGCGTCAGACACTACAGTGTGTCTAAACCGACACTGGCTCACGTATTATTTTTATATTATCAAATGAAACTACAGTTATATCAAAATGATATTGTAGTTGTGGTGAAATGAAACTACAGTATATATAAAATGAAATTGAATAACATTTCACATATTTCATGTAGTTGTGTTTTAATGAAATTATAGTGTATATAAAATAAAATTAAGAGTAAATACCACCTATGGTCCCTCGAGTTTGGTGGCATCGCCATCAATGGTCCCTAACTTCCGTAATTACCATCTGTCATCCTCCGAGTTGTGGAAAGTTACCTTCTAGCGTCCTTCCGTTACTTCATCCCGTCTCAGCCGTCAAAATGGAGGGTAATATTGTCATTTGACTTATACGAAAAGAGTTAATACCAGCCAAGGTCCCTCGAGTTTGGTGGTTTGGTCATCTTTAGTACGAAACTTGGCCAAACAATATTAAAGATCCATCTCATAAGTTTGTAGGCTTC